GATGATGGTAAGAATGATCATGGTGAGGATGATTATGATGAGGATGCTAAAACAAATTAGATTGAGGAGGATAAGGAGGATGTGACTGATGAAGATGAGTGTGATATGGATTTGGATGATTAGAAGAGTAAAGCTTGATATAATGACAAAGATAAGCACGATGTTGATGAAGAGGATGATGGTGATTATAATGATGCCGATGATGACGAAGAGGAAGCTAATAATGCAGAATAATCATTAGCGGATGAAGATTTTAATAATGTTGATGAGAATGATTACAATTATGAAGAAAAAGAAGGAGGATGATGGCGACGTGGAGGATTAGGATGATATGAAGAGGATGAGAAGGATGTTAGTGTTGAGATGGATTAAGATTTGGATGACTAATAATGAGGAAGACGATGAGGGGAAGGAGGATGATAAAAAAGATGAGGAGGACATGGATGTGAATGAGGATGATGATCTAATGACTGTGTGAGCAGGACAAGCTAAGATAAATTCTATACACTGACCCACTTTACCCTGATGAAAGTAATGGTAAAAGCTGGGAACTATTAAAAAGAATTAGACATATAACCACACACACATATATATATGAATAAATTTACTACGGCAGGTAACAGTAACAGTTTGGTTATCATGCCACCATGTAGAATGACCACACCGACTACAACTACTGTATTTGAGTCAAAGGAACGTGACTGACAGACCTGTTTATAAAACTGAGTGTTAATTGTAATATTAACTTCCTTCTGCTTGTTGTCAGGTCAGCGGAGGCTCAGAGAGTCAACACGTGACCTCAGTTTTCAAACTCTTTGGTTGATGAATAGAACATAAAAGCTCTGACTGGATTTTTCTTACATTTTACCTTCAGGGCAGCCACTTCCTGACCTCATTACTTGTACTGTATAAAGGGGGGGAGAACGAGCATCCTTACTGATGCAGGCTCCGTGCCAGGCGTAGCGGCCTCTAGGACAGTGAGAGACGCAGTGGTCACCCAGCAGCCAGGTCTTTGGCACCTTACACCAGAGACAAACACTGCCGACGCCCGTCTGGAGGTCTGCTGTGCAGCGCTGGCAGTCTGGGCTGCACACTGAGGGAAGGACACACACAGGAAGGAAGGATTAATTTCATATATCGTCATAATGAACACAAATAAACATCAAAGTCAGACTTGTTGACACGCTGCCACAGCTGCTTCACCAACATGAACTGCTTGAAAAAAGACTGGCCTGCCTTTAGAAACAACCGAGCAGGTCGTCGGTGCAAGCAGGTTACTGGCACCATTAGTTCCATTTCATTGTTAGGTGACATCTAGTGGTTGTAGTAATTATGATGGGAACAAAGAAGAAGTGAGGTGACAGGGCGAGGTCAGCCTGACACAGATGGCCGCTGTTTGTTTCCTGTTTCAAACTGATAATCGTTGTTTCTGTTAACACGACCAATTCATAACTGTAGCTGAGTTCTCCTGTTACCGTGATGATGGAAATCCTTGAACCATAAAAAAGTGCTTATTTTAACCCACATCATGATTAACAGGGTTGATATTGTGCCTAAACCTAACCCAACTGCGACGGTTCCTAAAAGACAAAAGCTTCTGCTGTTGTTTTGTTTGTTCAAGCCCAAAAACACTTCAGCTCAACTCCATAAAATGAGGATGTCTCTTCTAGAAATCCTGAACTTAGCTAATTACTTGTCTGTGAGAAAGAAAATTAGAAAAGCAAAAAAACTCTAGAAGAAGATGAAACACCTGGATTCTTTCCCAAGGTCTGTCTCTTCCTGCATCTTTTAGCTGCCCAGGGTCCGTTGAAATAAATGCCTGTGAAGCCCATCCTTCAGCTCCCCCCGACCCACAGACCTGAGCAGAACTGAGTGCGGCAAGTTCAGCCATAAAAAGCACAGATTACCAGAACAAAGAAGAACAGCTCTGTGGTGTTTTGACCGATGCTATCTGGGTTGTGTCTGGCTGGCACAGTGGTGGGCACCCTAAAGTCATCCTCCCATACCAAGATGAATATCTACAGTGGAAAGGAACAACAGGGCTCTGCAGGTGAGGAGGTTTATGTTGGCCAGGTGAGGAGAGCAGATAAAGAGGCAGATCACTTTGGAGTAGGAGAAAGAAAACAACTGTTAAGATCATGAAAGCACTTGTCTTTCTTTAAGGCAAATGAGAAAAGTCTGGAGGGATTACAAGGTGAAAGGGAACAAGTATCAAACCCTGTGATGAAAAGATCTGAGTTTAATCAAAAAATGAGACAGGGTTTATTAGAGGAAGACTAAAAGGAGGACAATACTTGTATTACACAAAGAGTTTAACAGTGCTTTAAGAAGGATGATTTAAGATGGAAGGTTTAAAACAGCATTTAAAGCAAAAATAATGAAATAAAAGACAAGTGAAATAAAACAATGCATAAACTACACCTGGAGCAACGTGAGTTTTACAGTATCCATGTGATAAATAACCAAATAATAAACTGCTGTTGCTATCTTTTCCATTTTTCTAGCATAAACTAAAAGGGGAGGTGTTTTTGTGCTTCTTCATCCTGCAAACACAGATATGTTTAATTTAGCTCTATTTCCATTACCTGATAAATATTTCCATTTACACTCAGAACTTTCTTTGGACTAGCATCCATTTCCTATAGCAACATGCTAAAGGTTTAGATATTCACGGTGCTTACACTGGCAGAGTCAGTACTGGCGTCCAGAGGGAGAAGTCCTGTTTACCTTAAGTGTCAAGTCTTAATAAAATCTGTGGTTCTGTGGTTTTAATTAACGCAAGTGGTAGACGGAAGCTGCTGTATTTGAATTCCTCCTGTCTGTCCCTACATGTTGCCCTTTAGTTCACATTTCAAACTCTGGGTTGTGGTACCGCTGTTTTCTTGTTTCACTTGTTTGCACGTGCACTAAGAGCAGACATTTCTTACCTATATTGGAGCAGCTTTTGTGGGAGTGCAATCTTAATTTTGTAGGAGAACTTTTTGATCCCTTTTCATATCTGACAGCTATTCTTGTCGGCTTGTGTGTTTCTGAAGAGCTGACATTTAAGTCAGACAGTGAGATTATAGTATTTCTGCCTCTAGAGCAGCATCGCCTCTGACGAACACTAGAAAATCTCAAACTCTTATCTCCTGAACATGTCATTCGCACAGGTGAGTCGCACAATCCTTAAGAAGCAGGGCCAGTATCAACCGAGCCAAAGAAGAAAACAAAGGACTTCCTCTCTGTCAACTCACATCCACATCTTTCATTCCACATCACTTTACAACAAAACACATATCAGCTTTCCCCCTGCCAACGCTGGAGGCGAGCTGGCTCCGGGTGCCAAACAAACGGCTCCATGGTGGGAAAAGATAACTCAGGTGTCAGGGTTATTGACTGTGCAGACTAAAACTGAATGTAAAAATAAAATGTTATTGATTTGGCTCCCTCTTTATGGCGTAGTTATGATTTTTGAAGCACATAAAATGGTATGTTAGAGTTATAAATGTATGACACACAGAGTGGATGATCATATTCTCCTGTTGGCCAGATTCATACCAGACACCATCCTATACTTAGCATGAGTCACAGAGGAGAATGGGGCCTAATGCCTCTCGATTAGCTGCTCCCTTGTGACTTGTGCAGCTGAAAAAAGATTAAACTTTATTCTCTAAAACAGTTTCTCTCAGCGATGGAGCCCGAGTGCAACAGCAGCTCAGAAAGCAAGAGGAACAAAGGTGGGACATCAAAAGACAAAGCGCTGCAGCGAGAGGAGCTGTGTGGTCCCGCGACGCTGACTTTACCCTGTCTAGACACGTCGCCCCAACAAAGAACAGATTTACAGACGCAGCTATTAGACAAGTTTTGTCTTCGTGTTCGGGTCTGAGTGAATGTTGGCTCAGTCTCCAAAAACCGATGTCAGACTGAGGATAAGGATCAGTCTGGAACGTGGCTGGGAAACACTTCTCTCTTGCTGAACATTATTCAAACATAGCTCCACTAGGCCGCTCAAACAAAGAGCAGTATTAATGCAGAACAACTGTGTCATATATACAAAGATGTGTTAAGTGTGAGGAGGTTTTATTTAGAAATGTCTACTGTACAAACAAGGAGCACAGAGTAACTTGATCTGTTATGAATTTTTACATGAGTATCTGACCTTTAAACTGTTTTTTCAAACGAGAAACCTCTACTAAACATTACACCCGGTGGTGACGCTCGCAGTGTTAAGGCATCATATTCCACTGAGCTGTCCATTTAGCTCTACAGCCGACTCCTCCTCAGGTTTCTCTAGGGGGAAATAAAAGATTTAAACCTTTCAAAATACAAGAGTCTTTGCTAATCCTGTCTTGCGCACAGTTAGTCAGTCAAATCCCATCACGAAAGAAATGCAGGTAGATCAAAGATAAGCATACAAACATTTACTATGACAACCACAAAGAATGAACAAGGGCTCATGTGCTGCTTTCTCTCATCATTGCCAGCTCAGGGTCACACTCAAACGTTACTGCCTGTATATAAATGGCACAGGTCTATACAGAGCTTAGAAGCTACACTACAACCAGACGTCAGCAAATACAACTGCGTTCTGCTTAATGTTTTATGATGAAATGATTTAAAGACAAGGAAACAAAATGATCAAAGGTTAAAGTGAGACGGCTCTAAAGGTCCCAAGATGTGAAAAATCAAACTAGTGTCACTATCAAAACTGGGAAAAGACACATATTTAAATGTCTGTTCAGCTAAAACAGGTTTTAATGCTCAGTGTTCTGGGAGAGTGAGTGATTTATTATTATTTTTCTCCATTTAAATTCATGTGGGGTCTTCAGCAGCAGAACATGACAAAAAGAGACATCAACAGCAGCTGTCGCTGTCAGCACTGCGTGTCTTAAACAGGCTACTTACTATGTAGGGTTTTTATTCTCTGTTGACCAGGAAGAAATAAGAAAGAACATGATCCCGTGTCTTTCTGTTGGCATGCCTTGTTTCTATGGTGATGCGTTCCTGTTATCCCCTGTGCAGGTCTATTTTAGGCTTCATGTGTAGCTAAATAATGGCTCTGGCACAATAAGCTCTTGTAGCTGTAAGTGTTGAGCTGTGCTCCAGAAACTCTGTCATTTGGCCTTTCAGAGCTCAGATCTCAAAATGTCCTCATCACTGGCTCTGAAGTTCTCTTCACATCAGTAATGAAAGATTTAGACAAAGGGAGACAGAGAAGAAGGGGGAGCGTGAGAGGCAGCAGGTGAGCAACAGTCAAATGCTCTCACGCTGATATTCCTCCTCACGGCTCATGATCCAGTGTGAACAAAGCCAATGTTCTGCATTCTAATTATGACCACATGGGCTTTGTTTGCATTGCCAAGTTTCATTTTAAGCTGTGATTTTATATTAATTTTTGAGACAGTTTGTTTGCATCTGCTTTCCAGTGAGACATGTCCAGTTCTTTTTACACTCAAAGCAACACACAGATGTGGGTATGTGACGTTCAGCCACGAGCTGAATCATCGGGACCAATGGGAACTCACCAGATCTGTTTCACCTGCTGAGACCTACAAGCAACTTTCCATCTGCCAGCTGGGACCCACCACAGAGAGGGGACCACCGCAAGCTGTAAACGGTGGTCAGGGATCTTCTACCACTACGTGTTTATATCTATGATCTGTGTCACAGGTGAGCAGAACAACATTACCCTGCTAGTGGCTCCTAGTAGTGTCAGTGTTGGAAGGAACTATCAATAACCACTTGTAGATTTAGTCAATCTTTACCAGTGATATGGCTGGTTTTTCCTGATGGCTGCACTAGAGGAAAACAGGCTGAACCCAGTATATATAACTGGGTGCTGAATCCTCAAAAATGTCTGTAGAGTGATGAAGAACAGGGACAGCGCTAAAATAAATTGACTATTTTTTCTTACATTGGGTGGATATTTTGAGCAGATGCCCGTCCTCAGCATGTCTTGTATGCTGAAGACGCCATCGAGGTGGGACGGGGGTGCGGTACAGGCTGGCACTGTTCGAACCTCGCTGTCGACCGGCCGACTCTAAATTCCCCATTGGTGTGGATGCGAGGATGGTTGTGTGTCATCCATGTGACAGTCTGGCCACCTGCCCAGGCTGGACCTCGCCTCCTGCTTAATGTCAGCCGCTTTATGATAAGGATGAAAATGGAAAGAAAGGCAGCAGAGCCAACAAACTGGTGTTTATGGAAAGAGGCAATACAGCCAGAATTAAATGATTTCAAACTAGCAGAAGCAATGGTCCAACAACAAATGTAATCTTTTACTTTTTTGGCATTATTATTGTCTCTTTTTATGGGTAAAAGATGTAGGCTTCACTCAGCGCCATTTCTGCAAAAACATCAATCAGAAATGAGCAGCAGTTCAGGGCCGAGCGTGAACGCCTTGAGCAGCGTCTCAGAGTGTTTTACAGACAAGCACTTATGAGATTTGGCAAATCGCTACACTGGAATGGTTGGCGGCAATAAGAGGGTGACAGGAGCTGTGACATACCAATCAAATGGGAGTTCCTGAAGAGAGACAGAGACAGAAAGACAAACAGGTGGAGAATAAATGAAGACAGCTAGCAGCGAGACACCTGTCTCTGATGGGCTGGGAGCAAAAGCCTCTTTGCCTTAAGAGGTCATGTAACAATGTTAGTTCTACTGGGTGGACAGACATAAGCCAAGGCTGTGTGTGTGTGTGTGTGTGTGTGTGTGTGTGTCATGGCCCTGCAGAAATGATGACCCCAGTATTTCTACAGCCCAGAAGTGCCATGAGGCATCTTTTATTTAGTAACCAGAGTTTGGCTGAGTTTGACCCATTTAAGATTAGGTTGTGTGCATGTTTGCAAACAAATGTGTGTGTGTTCAACCATGCTTATCTGCTAGTGTGCATGCGAGCCAGCAGTGTGTGTCTACACACACATGTAAGTACGTGTACTGTATTAGTGTCTGTGAGCTAAAACCTGGTTGTAGTTTCACATCTCCAAACTGTGTGTGTCATCAAAAACTAATTAAAAGCCAATGCGCCTATTTTCCCTCAGATCCTGTTTACCCCCTGTTATCTCTTCACACTGGCTTCCCATCGGGTAAACACGCCTGTTTTCAATCAGCCGCTGGTCCAGAATGGTAAAAATGCATTTCATTAACCAGAGGGAGGACGACAACAAGATGCCTTTCCACACAAACACTCCAATCGTCCCTTTTCTATTTATCTTCCCTTTGGTAGTTTATCATATTTTGCCTGCCACGGACAAATAGCAGTTTTGTGCAGTGAGGAAGAAAAGCACGGTGGTGGTGGTGGTGGGGGGGTTAAGAATACCTCAGGCTGGTGTTTATCAGCAAAGATCTGAGGAAAGCTCATCTTTTTCTGAAACTCACAACTACAAGCAGAAAGTGCTTTTTTTATTTACACCATGAAGAGGAGTTACGCTAACTTTTTCTCCAGGTCAGCGGGGACCCAGAGTTTTCACCACTTTAGTTTCGTAGGTTCTTCTTCACTGATATAAAGGTAACATTCCTCAACACAGAAACACGTGCTTTTCCAGAAAAGAAGGCATGACAACAGATTTATGTTACTGCTGTTAGTTTTAATCAGAAATCACAACGATCATGAATCACAAGACTAAAAGCAGCCGCATGACCTTCAGTTGTACTGTCCCCGGTGTGACTCCAAGCTGCAGAAAATTCAGAAGACTTCATCGAATCTCAGCTGATTTAAACTGTTGTTGTTTTGTTTGACTCCAAGCTGCAGAAAATTCAGAAGGCTTCACCGAATCTCAGCTGATTTAAACCGTTGTTGTTTTGTCGGGTATCACCAAAGTGTCAGTACCAGCTCACTGTCCAGGACGGGACGGCGTTGGACGTGGATTACTGAAATGCACCAAGACTGTCGTGTTAAACTTCTCTCCTTTTCTCCCTCCTGTCCATTTTTTTTTTCCTACCCATGTTTTGCTTTAATGAGTCGACCAGTTTTGCCCGTCCAGCTGTCAGACACCACATACAGTATGTCAGTTAGAAAATAAAAAGGACGTTCTGAGTTGCCATATTCTTTGCAGATGGCTGGTTGAGTAACAGCAGCAGCTGCTATGATTCTAATTGTAGAACACAAAACCTGCTAAATAAAGCATTAAAATTCAAATCCTGCAAACCGATCTGACTGAACAGGTTTCGGAGTGAATTCTCTAGTAAATATAAGTATTTAGAAAGTACCGGGTAAAAAGGATGGATTTGTGTGTCATGTTCTCAAACAATATTCATTTTAGTTCTTGAAGTCAAAGGCTACTCCACCAGAAATACAGCAAGAGAAAAATTGGATTAGTTCAAAATCTGGTGATTAAAAATAATCCTGAGTCATTTGGCAGCCAACTGAAATAACTAAACCTGTCTTTGTTGTCTGCTGCTGAGAGGAGAAAACCTGCCTTGTGTCCAGCTGTTCCTCTGGAGAATGAAACAAAAATGTTGTTCTCAGCTTATTTCAGCAATCACAGTAAAAAGTGTGACTTTAACTTCAGCTTGCAGCTTAAAGCCTCGCTCAGACAGCGTTAACATTCACCGTGCTGCTCGGTAATTTAACTCATCATTCCGGACAGGATTTTAACGGTCTAGAAATCACAGGTTATGGTCTGTAACATGAACATTCAGCAAGACAAAGACAAAACCTCCCCAGGGGGACGTAGGAGGCGTGGAGGCAGAGACGTGAGGCCGATGAAATTGAGTCATAAGTCTTAACACACAAGCATGAAATGCATATTGATATCAGTCAGTGAGAGTTACATTTGCAGCAGGCACCATTATCTCGGACAAATCTCCATAAATCTGCAAGTAAATAATAGAAAAAAAAGAAATTTGAGAATCACTACATTTTCAGTTTTTTCATTGTGAGAGCTGGGTTACTGCAAACAGGAACTGCTAATCAAGTTCAACATACTTTTAATGATGTTTTTGTGCATGAACAGCTGCTTTTCCCCCTACTGTGTTTTAATCAGTGAGTTCTGTTTGAAAATAAACTACTCCATTTACACTGAATTTACATTAGAGAAGGAGCAGCGAGATCACAGAGGAATAGGAGGTGATTGTGACTGAGGGAGGTAAAAATACAAGCACTCATGGTGGCATGTCTGATGAAAGCCTTGTGCAAATGGAAGACAAATACGCCCATCCACACACACACACACACACATTTACACTTACTGAGGCACTCTCCAGTGGCAGCATCGAGGAAAAGCCCCTCTTGGCAGCTCATCCTGCAGGAGCCGCTTCTTAGGGAGGCCTTCGGGGGGCAGGAGGCACAGTCAGCCTGGGAAGGACCAGTGCAAGTCTGGCAAGACGGGTGGCATGCTGAGAGGTGGAGGACACAGGGAGGAGAGGGACACCGAGGAGAGAGAGGAGAAAAGAGGGGGGGATATGTTAGAATCATGATAAAAGTGAAGTGAGAAGGACATAGGAGACAGGTAAGGAGGGATGGAGGGAAGAAAAGATGTAGCAGGAGAAAAGGAAGAGAGGAAAGAAGGGCAAGGGAAGGATAAAGATGGCAGAGGAAGAGAAAGGTGGGCAGTTGGGGAAAGACAGTGAGGAAGGAAGAAAGACAAAAAGGAGAGGTGAGGAGAGAATTTAAAGAGAAGGAGATAAGAAAGGAGCAAGACAATCTGACAGTCACTCTCCTTTTAGCTCTAGTTTGGTCTTTCTTCCACACCCAGTCTCTAACTTTGTGTGCTGCTTAGTGCGGCTTTGTCGGAGTTTGTTTACACGTCAGCTGGTACAAAACAGCTGCTGTTGCTGGAAACAGGAAAAAGGCCGTAGGCTGACTACAGGAAATACATTAAATGTGCCATAACACAAAAGCTAAAAGGTAAAAGAGTCTACGCTCTGTGGGGCTGTAGAGACAATGATAAGCCATCCCCTTCACATTACTCGTTGTCTTGTGATTCGTCACCATTATAGAAAAATATTGATTAATGGAGCTTTAGCTACACAGTGTGTCCTATAGCCTGCCATAAAAAGTAGTTGTAGTAAAACAGAAACACAATAGATCTTCAGGCTATCTGGATAGCTTTAAATGAGCCGATCAACACTGACAGAGACAAGGACAGCTAAGGAAAACATTTATTTATTTTGGCATCCCGGGAGCAAATTATCTGAGGCCATCATTCTTCTTAACTGTCTCTGTATCAGCCATTTCATTTACTTAACCAGTGTTTGGAGCGAAAACACAAATAAGAGAATCAGCAAATACCTGAAGCTGGTAGATGGGAGGTAGAAAGGGTCATCTTGGGTCAGAGACAAGGTAACGGATGGGAGGTTAGAGCTAATAGATTTTCATTAAGGAGGCAGAAGAGCAAACATGCTGTGGTAACTCGTACCAGCACACGTCCATACTTCACCTTCACTTTTGGTGTCAGGTGGAGTAAATGTGACCTCGATGCTCTGCTGTTCATTTGGTCACAAGCTGCTATGAGGTGTTTAAACACAACTAAATCACAAATGCTGTGGTGGTTTGGAGAAACTTTTATAGCCGTGCTTAACAAAGTTCGCATTCACTGATCCTGCTTTAACACTGAGCTGTTAAAAGCTTTCACCACTGACCTTCACTGAAAACCTGTCATCTATATTCTGCTGTGAACACAAACACTCATTCTGGAGCTTGCCAAATGACTGTGGCGTAGTAACAGTGCTTTTCATGACACTAAACTGATGGTAAATGATTCTATGTCACCTTGGACTTTGATTTAGAGGCACTGTTCATGACGGCGCCAACAGTTTAAGATGGCTGAACACAAAGAATCCAGGTCTACTAGAAACCGGCAGTAGTGGAGATTTCACACAGATGTCTTCGAGGGGGCCGGTTTCCAACCCTGAGAACAAGGACATCTTTGGAGAGCGCGGCTGTTCTATCCACTTATTCAAAGGGTTGTCTGGGAGGTTCGATTCTAGGGTTAAGGTTTGGTTGGGGGCCTGGGGAATGCAATGTATTGTAAGTGCAGCAGCTCTCACCGTGGCACTGCTTGTCCTGGACAAAGAAGCCTTGTGGGCAGGTGGGGACGCAGTGGCCCTCGTGCAGGCTGGAGGCAGAGGGACAGGATGTGCAGTTGTCTGCAGATGGCCCAGTACAGCGCCAGCAGGAGGGATGACACTCTGAAAAGGACACAGAACAGTTTGATATTCCTAAAAAACCTAAGAAGCCAGAAAGACAACTGTGCCTCCTCACTACTTTTCTATGGCCTCAATGACAACAAGAGAAGTTCCCATAAGACTTTGCTGCACTTTTACTGAATCTCCTGCAAAGTTTCATTTTTAGAAGAAAAACTACTCAGTCCTTAGAAGCAACCCGGCGCACGCTGCCACTGTAGGATGAGAAGTCAACTTTATTTTGCTGTGTACTGCTGTACAGTACTACTTAGCTTTAGTGCAGCAGCATATCAACATAAATACATTAAAACTAAATGGAGGACTGCTCTTCCTGCTGTTAAGGTATCCACCTAGAGTCAGCTGGAGCCTATGTATATCTGCCTGAACACTTTTCACCATCAGTCCTCTTATCCCACAGCCACTCTGCTGAATCTTGTTCCTTCCATATTGGCATGTTTGGAATCTGATTCTCAGGAGGTACCATCAGCTCCATCAGCTGCAGTAAAGTGACACTCAGATGAGGCCAGCTGCCAGCTCCACCGATCAAAGAGCCTGATCCAAGATCGCCGCACAACAGCACAGACTTCTGGAACATGCTCTGCTGCTCGGTTTGGACTAAAACTTCCAAAGGGATGAACATATCACAATATTTGGAAACTGTAAGCTAAGGGTTTAAAGTGACACCAGGTAAGTTGGCCTTCAGCTGGCAGCAAGGCTGAAATGAAACCTGACAAGTGAATGAACTAAACACATTGCGCTCATGTTTACCAACTCAGTGTGTCTATGATTCATAATGGTAAAGGAGCAGTAGAAGGCAAGGCCAGCTTGGTTCTTTACCACCTTTAAGTCACAATGTACATGGATGGCAACATTTTAAAAAATGAATTAATTACACTTTAAACCATCATTACATTCAGCTTTACTTTTGGCCACAGTGTTCTGCTGCTTGTTGTCATTTTTCATGCTTGGCCTCACATATGTGTATAACCTCCTGTCCCTGGATTGTTTACCCTTCCCTTACACCCCACACCACAGCAGCTCTGACACAGGCCTCGTGTGCAGCCTTTGGCGCCTGCTCTGGCAGTACAAAGGTAAACAGACCTACGCTATCATATGGGAGTGAAAGACAAAAGGTCTGTCACAGACTGGCCAGGAGCACCAGGTGTGTGTGTGTGTCTGTGTGCATGGCACGAGTGTTAAGCGTGTGTGTTTATAATTACTCCTCTCTGGATTCTTCGAAAGCTGTCAGCTGTATTCGGATCTTGTGTACGCACTGCATGACAGCCAATGGCAGGAGCAGACTGGTGCTCTACCTGCGCCAACACTGTGTGTGTGTGTGTGTGTGTGTGTGTGTATACTGTATCTCACCCTACAAAAACATTTACCCTTTGGGAGCACCTCAATGTCACAGCGAGAACTTTTTAAAGTCACTGTGGTGTCAGACGAAACCCATCAATCTGACATGAGATCACTTCCCACCTGCTCCCAGCTCCCTACCCACAATCCCCTTCTTCTCTGGCAAATATGGCAGCATAATTGGTTAGCTGAGATGAGAAGACAGCCCACGTGTTTCCATGATTGAGTTCACCACCCACAGGCATGTCTGTTCATCCATACACATTGAACTCATGCTGCCAGCACAAGTTACACACAACCCTTCATATCGCCAGTCACAAAGCACACACACACCCAGAGGCACATTAAACAGGATTCCTGTCAAACCTGTTTCATTAATAAGAGACTGATAGGCAGCCTCTTGTTGTGTTATTGCAGCTGGATAGAGGTGATTCCTTGCGAAGGTGTTCTCATCACACATAATCTGGTGCGTGTTCAGAGAATTGGATTCATCACTTTGGTTTGTGCTAATAGGGTCATAATTTGAGGTGGGTGCAGTCGATGAGGGTGTGATTTCGTTTGGCAATGCGAGTGCTCCATGATGCCTTCCCCAAACGACCCTCCTGGTGCAGTACAGGGCTGATCATTACAGCAGTGCAGCAGAGAGTTCAGCGTGAACACACAGCTGAAACTCAAGTGCAAGGCTATATCTCATTCCTCTGAAGTGTGCAACAGATCATTCACAGTGATTCTGCTACAGTATGTTTTGATACATCCAACCCCTTGAGAGATCATTCTGAGGAAATGGTAATGCAATGCAGTGGAGATACAAGAAAATCATGTCCAGTCTGACTCGAGGCTGCTCTCTATTCACTAGCAAAGACCATGGCTGATGAGATATTGAGAGGGAATTTCTTGACATCGTGAGACCGAGTGAGGATGGTTCGATCCAAGGTTCCCACCTTATATACCAATGAGATATAACCTCGCACTTGAGTTTCAGCTGTGTTCACCATCCTCATGATGGTGAGGAGTCAAGCTCAGATAGCGATTGATGACTGGAAGGCCGACGCTTGGATGGTGGAATGAGCGAGGAGTCCTTTTGAGATCCAGAGTGTTGATCAGAATAGTTGGAGGGAGACAGTGGACTGGGGAAAGCTTCTGAGGGTCAGCACGGTGCCTGAACTTGGCCAATCCCATATAAAGAGGTGAAGAGAGAGAGAGAGAGATACAGGACATATAGGGAAGGAGGGAAGGACACAGGAAAATAATAGTGCCTGGAGCAGAAGAATGTGGGAGCATTTAGCATGTGACACGCCTCTAGCGTGATCTTACTCCTGAATCTCCAATGTGCATGTTCCCAACGAGAAGCTGTATTCCTCCATGGTACCAAGTAAATTAAACTGAAACAAACTGTTGAATCTCCACACAGTACACATATTTATCCACTTTTTCAGGTCATTCGGGTTCCAAAGTTTAGACTCAGGCAGTAATACATGAAGCAGCAGCCCCAGCAGCCTCCTTGCTCCTCAGAACGGATATAGGAGCCTTGGAACGTCCTTGATCCTTGCTCAAGTGGAACAACTTCCAAGTTAAGGACTGACGATCGAGGACAGAATAACAATCATATAAGACACATGAGAAGCGGCCTTAGATTGGACAAAGTCAGGCTTGTGAGAGGAGCTAACTGGCAAGCAACACAAGAACACAAGGGTCACAAGTGCTGGAGTTCAGAGCAGGTTTAAGGGCTAGAACAAAACTGGCGAGCACATATACAGTCACAAAGATAAATCACCAGCAACACTATGATCTGTCAAACATTTGCTTGGTCCCAGTTTCTGAATGATCTTGAGAGCTGCTTTCTTTTTTAGTTGCATCTGTCTCACCTCACAATCTACCAATCATAAACTCTATTGCCAAGTATGTTAAAATACAAGGACTCTGACTCCAGCTCAGTGGGCCCCGATGTGCACCAAATAAAACAGAATAATAAGTAAAAACAAGAAGACAAACAACCATCCATTGATAAATATGTACATATTTGCTTCACCTGCATCAGTGCTGCATTAATTTAGTTTGTCCATCATAACTGCCCAAACAGCCAAACAAACAACCAAAAATGCCTGAGAGACAATTAATGTCTGTTATTATGAACAGTGTTCCAGGTCAGGTGTGTTTTAACCCTTCCTGTATGTGACATGCATTGATTCAACCTGTCAATCAAGCAGCATTAAACCTCCTACACACCCTGCACAAGCTTTACACTCTGGAATTTGCTCTCAGACACCTGATAGCTCGTCAGCTCCAGCCCACATAACGTGTCCAGGAGTCTGTGTGTGTCTGTACAGTAAGTCTGCGTGTACGTAAACACTAGAGTCTGAGAGTTTCATGTACATGTTTACACACCGCCCTCCTCCGCCTCAGGGCAGTCGGTGCTGAGGAGGTCTGATTATCTGTCAGAACAACACACACACACACGTACAATGGCCTGCATTGTTCCAAGTCGTACACCTGGACCCGCTGACACTGCACTGAGGGAAGCCTTTGTTACTGAGAAGAGATGCTGAATAGACCAACTGTGAATAGAGCTTTAATGACACGTCATTTATGCAGCTCATCTTCACCTCATTATGTGTTGAGCCTAATTTGGGAAATTTAAAGTGAATAGAAACTAGATAAGCGACACTTAGACACATTAGCTGGTGCACAATGTAACTGTGTTGAGACAAGCAGTTCAAATCCAATTTTCTGCACAACATGCAGAAAAAGCAGAAATCCAGTATTTAATTTTAGAGGCGGCTGAAACATTATTCAAATCACACAACTGACAATGAAGTTCAAACCAGATTCTGGCGTTTTTATTACCCAACTCTTCTCACCACACACAGCACAGCAAATATGGGGGACAGCGGGACGTCGACCAGGACAGCAACAGCTAACGTGTATTTAAATCAATTTTATTGTCGGACTGTCCTTCATCAGGGTCAATGAACAACAACTATATGAGCTAATGCTCATCTTTCTTTCATTTTACTTTGAATGAACCTACAAATCACCTGTTTATTAAACTCCACATATTGAAAATCGATGATATAGTAGTTTTTGAAACTGCTCAGGTTTTATATAAAGCTAACAAGAATTTATATTAGATGTATTTTTATGTTCAAGAAAATAAAAGTCAGGACAACCCTGAAAACAGGTTACTTTTGACAGGGAGTAATAATTAATACACATTTTTTAAAAGAGTAATATATTACACTTTTTGAGTAACAAGCCCAACAGATCAACTTCAACATCAATATCTGCTGCAAACCAAATGTGTTTTGTGACAAAAGAAATAAACTTGGCCCAGCATTGGCCTCATGTGACCCCAGAGATGAACGAGTACTACTGTAGAGGGGGCAATCCGCGCACTCCTTACCAATTTGTATTTATAGGAGACAGAGTGTTTGTCTTTTCCCATATGATTAAAGGAACCCACTTTTGCTGACGGCTATTCAATTCCACCTAAAGTAAACAACGGTGCTTGGCCTGCTGTGAACTTAAAAGCAAACTGTGTTGAGGAGACAAATCATGCTATTAGTTAAATGGCTTCCGGCTCTAAAATCCAAGTGATGCCGACTCATGACCCCCCGCTTCGCCTGCTGCAGGAATACATTTGCAGACTACTCAAGTGTGACCTCAAAGGGAGAATTTTACTTTCTGTACTGAGAGTTTGACTTGATGTACTGCAAAAAGGAGCAAAGAGGTTACAAATATCCATAACTCAAAAGCTACATTAGAAAGCATGATGAGTAATCTGTCACCCCTAAAAAGGCTGCAAACTCCAGTTTCAGAAAGCAGTGAGAAGGTTTCTAGTTTGGGTGATGCTCCCTCACACAGCAAACAACACAGGAACTGAGGAAAAGCCATTAGCAACAGCAGCAACAAATTATCATGTTTCCAAGCTTTAAACCGATCAGCTAACAGGAAACGATAAAGACATTCCTCAGAGCACCCTGTAATTGCTACAAACACTGAACTTCACTCGCACCTTAAAACACAGCTGCTAAGCAACTATAAACACACAACTGTGATTTATCTGCAGCACTATGGGAAATCCTAACAACCCTACACAGACTGCAGCATGCCTGGTCCTCAAACTCCGCATATCTGACGCGTCACTCGTCTCCTACACGCAAGCAGCTCATGCTCTGAAACCAAAGAAGTGAGAAAGGCAGCAAAGGCATCCTCATCCCCACCCCTCTGATCCAGTTCTGACTTTCCATGATATATAATAGTGTCATTCAGCACTGAAGCTCTGCTTTGTATTTTAATTTCCCGAGAGTCCACCATGTCTGTTTACCACATAAAAGATGGATGCATATATCTACAGATATAAACCTTGGTCTCATTCATCGTAGGTAAATCACTATTCATATGCTCTCTCCTACTGTCTACACTGCTTTCTTTTAGCCACTTCACTAACATCTAACATCTCATCAAGCCTTAACCTCAGATGTGTCCGATCAGAAATCAGTCATATGATCGGTCATTTTTCTCAGAGGTGTCGCCTCATGTTCGGCTTTCAGTCAGACTCAACTCACGAATCTGGTGACTTTAGACTCAACTTGGCAAAATCAAGAAAGATTTGAAACTTGCCTCTGACATATATGTTCTCTTCATTTCTGACTTCATTTCTTCCATGTAAACACGTTTGCCACAAAACTCTCAACGCTCCTCTTTTGAATCGGTCCAATAGTTTTTCGTGTGCAAGAGAGAAAAGCATGACTGGCAGCGTAGCTCTGCAGACAGAAACCCTGGGTTATCCGAGGAGGAAGCTGTTCGTTTTGGTTTGTTGAACACCTCTGTGTGATGCCTTGTGATATGATAAGATGAACTGATAAAGGATAAAATTAAATTCAAAAATAGAAAAACAGAACGAATTAATTTTTGTAGCAGTTATAAAATGCACAAACATTCCAAGGCAGTTAAACTAGTAATAGTTCATGAAGCATTAATATTCACTGCGTAAAAAAGAAAGATGATATAATCTTGTAGTGCAAAAGTGATTTTGTCTAATTTTGTCTCTGAAGCAAAAGAGCCCGACATCCTTCCTCTTCAAGATCAGAACAAAAAATTCATGTATGCAACAGCCATAAAACCACGGCCTGGCAGCGTGTGATCTGAGAGAAGGCAGAACGTGATGAGTGACTTGGCTGCACAGAGAGGAAGAGGCAGCAGGTAGAACAAACAACCCACTCGCTGACAAACACTGGACGCAGTGTGGTCTGCAGACACAAACAGACACAGCAGAGCAGCGACTGTTAAATGGACTGGATTCCACAGAACACGGCTGGAGGTGCATGGAAGATGAAGAAAACTAACTGTGGTCATTTAATCTGTCCTCTTCTCTCCATTGTTGTCCTGCTTTGTTTAGAAAAACAATAAAATACCTCTGGGCATCCTGGCAAGGAGGTGGTAGCTACAGTGGCGTGTGTCGTAGGTGGGTGTTAATCATTCTGACTTGACAGACTACCCCTTCAAACTTAAAGTCCACCTTAAAAATGATCCCATTACAAGGACAATTTCACAAACACAAACAACCTAATCAGGCGTCTCCACACACACTATCTACTTCTCCAAGTAGAAAAACAGTTCTGCAAAGTCTATACGCACACTTGTACTATCTTTGTGAGGACACTCATTGATATAATGCATTCCCTAGCCTAGCCCCTTACCATGACCTTAACCATCAGAGCTGAATGTCTAACCTTAAAGTGAGGAGAGTATTTTTTAGCCTTGAAAGATAGTTTAATAACATATAAGAAAGCCCTTCGTAGTGCCAGAACTGCATTTTATTCATCACTGATTGAGGAAAATAAGAACAACCCCAGGTTTCTTTTCAGCACTGTAGCCAGGCTGACAAAGAGCCACAGTGCTGTTGAGCTTAACATTCCCTTAGATCTCAGCAGCAATGACTTCATGAGCTTCTTTACAAATAAAATCACAACTATTAGAGAAAAAATTGGTCGGACCACTCCCACAGCTCTCGCAGATGTGCCATCTACTACAATGGCTTTAGAAACATCTGTAAGACCTCATTTATACTTGGACTACTTCTCTCTTATAGATCCCTCTGAGATGACCTCAACAATTGCTTCATCTAAATCATCAACATGTCTCCTGGACCCCATCCCGACAAGGCTGCTCAAAGACGTCTTTCCCCTAATCAACACATCCATACTAGATCTGATTAACCTCTCTCTATTAACAGGTTATGTTCCACAGGCTTTTAAAGTGGCTGTAATTAAACCTCTAACTCAAAAAGCCTACTCTTTATGTCAGCACTAGTTGCCATCATTCAAAAGAGAGCACTGTTTGTACATTTAGCCATTTGCTTTGTCATGGATTTTTCTCTGTGCTCTGACTGAATGTTGATGCTTTCATTGGGCCTGAACAACTCACACAGGTAATCATTACCTAACCTGTTTAAAAATCAAAATGATGGCATGACTGACTTGCTAATTGGCTTCTAACAGCCATGAGCAACAACAGCAGAAGCACAGTAGCTCAGCCTTGCAGGTGCTGCTTCTCCTGAATAAAGGAGAACATTTAGCTACTTCAGCGCCTCATGTCCTCACCTTTACATTTGTGCGTGTCATCCGGGAAGCTGTGTGCAGGACATCCGGCTGTGCAGACGCCATAGTGGAGGTGACTGGACTGCAGCAGGAGCGCTTCCTCTGGTTTGAGGCAGAACAGGCAGTCTGAGGCCAAAGGACCGACACAGGAACGACAGGACGGGTGACAATCTAGACACAATGGAGAGGAACAGTCAAAAGCAGCAGCTGAAAAAGAATGGAATACACAGTTAATTAAAATGCAATCGCTTACTGTGGCAAGTGTTGTCCTGGGGGTACAGGCCCTCCCCACAGGCCTCCACACACTGGCCTTGGTGAAGAAGCAGCTCACCAGGACATGAGGTACACTGGGATACCGAGGGACCCCAACATGAAGCACAGGAGCTGTGGCAGACTGAGGAGGAACAGAGAACAGAACAACTGCACCAGAACCATCGGTTTAAATATCTTTAATATTTTCAATCCTTTAGGACATTATATGCACTATGTAGTTAGGACTATGCACCTGGCGCGCTTAATCTTTTATCACAAAAGTGACCTTCTCTACTGTAGCTGCACAGAAAAGTGAAATTTCTATTTCTACACCAAATACCATAATTTTAAGTTTAAAAAAGGCATAAATAAGCCAGTTAAAGGTGCATTAAATAAGATTTCCCCCACAGTCTGATAACCCCAGTGACAGTGGGGCAGGATGTGGTGTCAGCTACACTCTTCTGGATGTGTTAGCATCTAAAGCTAACCTGTTTGTTTTGGTAGCATTAGCCACCTAGCATGGTCAGGATTTTACCTTTGTGTTGAACTAATCAGATTTTAATTTGGGAGGAACTGGAGCTTTGTATAACATCAGCAGTAACCAGAGCGTTCTACTGGACTGACATTTACTGTTAGTCAGCTAACGCTAGCTTCAGACTGGAGACTACATTTTGTGCAGTTTATTGCAACTAGGCATCTGTTGTTTAAGTCCTCGCTAGGAAACAGGACGTGATGGGAGGGGCAAAGAGTGGTTAGGAGGTCAAAATCGCCAACTGAGTAAGGGGACTTTGAGTTTTGTTTACAGCTGTTATTTTTGACGCCAAGAACGACCTGTTAAATATATAAAGTACACTATGTTGTAGCAGCTGAAGACCTGAATTACCTCTGCATCTGCCGTGGTTGTCCAGGTAATGCTGAGTTGGACACTGGGTGACACATTTCCCATGGTGCAAGGCGGTGCCTGGTGGGCAGCTCATGCACTTGGGGTTGTCAGGAAAACAGGAGGCGCAGGACAAGTCACAGGCTGTGAACCGTAGAACGTAAATGTTAATGGCTCCTATGACTGAATTATATTCAAGTAAGAGCAAAGTCTGTTAACCAGTCTGTCTCTTAGTGAGACGTTAGTCCAAACCTTTCTTCTATTGTTGGCAGGTATGTGTTTAGTAGCAGTTATAGATGTAGTTTGAACAGTGAAACAAACAATATAAAAAGCCAGGTTACAAACAAGTCATAACATGTCCAGAAACTCAACTGCATTCCCACCTTGTGGAGTGGTCCATATCAATGTGACATTTTGACATGCAAACATGGTCAAACAGATAAAATGGAGACTAAGATCAGTAAAAGGTTTTCCTACAGCGTGCTAGAGGGGAGAAAAAAGGAAACCGATCTAATCTAACCCAGGAGGCCCTGAGAAGGAAAGCTGAGAAGTTAAAAACCCTTCAGCTCCCTCCAGATGTTGACATTTTAAACCAGACCTCAAACACAAACTGGCATCTTCTAATGGACTTGACCTTTTTCCAAAAAGTTCCCCAGGATCTGGCATTTTCTAAAAGAGGGCTCCTCACTGAGTGTTTCAACTCTTCCATATGAGCTGCAGAAAAAGAAAAGTCTTCTTCACGCCCTCTGGGCGGTTTCAACAAAGGTGGGAGCTCAGCTGTATGCCGCTATGTTCTCTGTTGCTCCTCTTCATCTTACCACTCAGAAATAGAACCATCCATATTCATACAGGATCTCTTTCTTCATAGAACTTCTGAATCCTAATTATTGGAAGAGAGCTGTTAACTTTTGTAGGTTTGTTTGCTGACTCATCAATTAGGCACAACGTGGAGTGGATGACGGCAGGGAGCACCACAGGGAGGCTAACGAACAAGCCCAAACAAAGCCTCACCCCCAGGTCACCACTAGCAATAAACCTCTTACTGTGGAAAAAACAGAAGAAGAAGAAAATGCCAAAGAGCTCAGGAAGTTCAGATACAGTATGTTAAAAGTCTCCTTGGGAAAAAGGACCAAAAGTGTACTAATGGAAAAAAGAAAAATCCAAGGCACTCCTCTGGAAAAGAATGAATAGCCTTTACTCAGATGGCTCCCATGATGAGGATTAAAAACAATTCATATTTAAAGGTGAGTTACAGCCCACACTTAACGGCATAAAAATGTCTTCTTCAGAGTGTAACCTGCGTTTCACAGTTTTCCCTTAAGTAGACAAGAGGTAACTACAAACACCTGATGACAACAGGACAACAATCATCCCATATATGGCAAAGAACAAATACGCCAGCAGGTGGCCACACAGGGAACCAAAGAACATGCACTTATCAACCTCAGTGAGAAGAATCATGGCACAAAGACGGAGCAAAAACAATATATAGAGTCATTATTAAAGCATGGCCTGCACTAAGCTAAATATAAATAAGAAACGTTTTCTCTACAGCAAAAATAAACACTTTTAAATTCACAAGAAAGGACTGAAATCAATGTCGTGATTCAGTCCTGGATAGGATGTTCAAATGGTCGCCACTCTGAATGCTTCTAAACCTTCGACCGTAATAGTGTCGCGATCATGTTTAGTCATGGGATCTTCCACACGGCCTTTCCTAATTGCAGAAATCCTGGCATCTCTTAGTGCGGCCTACATAGAAGCAACCAGGATAGGTGATGCATTGAAACCACATTTATAAGTTCTCTTCAGAGTTTGAGGGAGCCGAGTATTGGTACCAGTGTTGGCTGAGAGATGACTAAACCTCTTACCAAGGTGATTCTGTCAAAAACTAACATATTAACCACAGTTAACATCTGGTCGTGGTCAAGAGGAACAGCAGGTTCCTCATACTCCTAAAATATTTCATGGCTGCCTTGGTCCTAAAGTGTAGTGTGGATGTGCATCAGCTTTACCGTAGCAGACGCCCTCTTGAATGTAGAAACCTGCACCACAGTCAGGAACACATTCCCCGTCTTTAAGCAAGTCAGCCGGGTCTGAACATGACACACAGTCCTTCTGGCTCGGCCCGTGGCACTCGAGGCACGACGCGTGGCAACCTGGTGGAAGGAAAAAACACTTACTCATTTCCATTCTTTACCTACACTAGGGAAATCATGATACTGTACATGATGTTTAATATGTTTCAAATGAATCTGTCTTCTATTACAGCACAACAAGTACTCCGACCCTTTGCTTAACTAAAAGTAGCAACACCACAGTGTAAAACTGTGTTAGAAGTCCTGCATTCACAAGCTTTACTTATGTAAAAGTACAAGTGTATTAGCATTCAAATACACTTAAAGTAGCAAAAGTAAAAGTACTCATTATGCAGAATGGCGCATTTCACATTCATGTATACAATACTATATTACTGAACCTTCATTGTGCTCATCAGTTTAAAGCTGCAGCTGGTAAAGGTGGAGCTAATGTTAACTACAACCCACACACACACACACACACACACACACACACACACACACACACACACACACACACACACAGTACTTCACATACTGCTGGGTAGCCTGTGAATTTTCCACCGGGGATCAATATTATTTAGCCTGATTTTAAAGAGTAACTAAAGTTGTCACATAAAATAGTGCAGTAAAAGGTACAATAATTGACTGAAATGTAATGAAGTCAAAGTATGAAGAAGCAGAACATGGAAATACTCATGTAAAATATAAACACCTCAAAATTGTATTTAAGTACAGTTCAGTAGTAAACGTACTTTGTACTACTGCATATATAGTTTGTAGTAAAAGGCATGAGTGATGTTATGAAATGTACAGAAAACAGGACGTTACAGCGATACAGGGATAAGTCCACAGACAGTACACATTTAACCAGGACTGCAGCAGCACTCTGCACGGGTCTGTCCATCCCGTGGGCCAGGTCCCGCCTCTCCAAATCTCCAATCAAAATCCATTCATAACTTTGTGAGTTATGCTGTGAACAAACCAACAAACAGTGGTAAAACCCCGTTTGTGTGTCTGTGTACTTGCTACATAGTGAGGACCAAAAAGTATTTTCTCCCTACAGAGTGAAGACATTTTTGGAAACAGGATATTTTGGCTGCTCCTCACTTTGTAAAGCACCTTTTTGAGGGTTAAGACTTGGTTTGTGGTTTAGTTCTGATGGGTTAGAGTTAGGATCAGGGGCTAGAGAAAGCATTATGTCAGGGGCTTTCACCTGGTTGTGACCCAGGGACCACCACTGTGACTAAGAAGCAACCACCGCTGAACAGAGAGAGCTCTATTTCAATCTTGAAAGTCACCTTGGCTTTTCTAAATTTCATATATTTTCATTTATTCACTATGGCAACAACTGTAATTAATGCATGAAAATGTGTTTAATTAACTAAAATAATCCAGGATTCCTACAAGGAAACTACCCCTCAGTGGGCCGCAGACCATGGGAATTATGTCAGTGAGTTTCCTCACAAAGATAGAAGTACGTGTGTGAGTGTGTGTGTGTGAGGGGTAGGGGGGTATTTTATAGATGCTGCTAAAACCAGCATTAACAACAGAGTGAGACCGAGCAGCAGGCTTAAACACTGAGCTGTGGGGAGCCCACTTAAAACATAACACGTAATTGTGTGTGTGAGAGGCTGTGAGTGAGAGAGAGAGAAGAAAAACCAGGAACTAGACACACACACTCTCCTAATTCCAGTGAATTAATCTTGTTTTGTTTCTGATGAAATGGGTGTAATGCATATGTGCACTTCTATGCGTCGCTGCATACATCAGCACATTCATCACCGTGTGTTTGTGTGTGACCATCGGTCAGTAAATAGAAACTCCAAAAACCTATTTCAGCACCAACTGGTATGATTACACATGATTTCCCAGCGGCCTGCAGGATAAAACCAGATGCCACAGCAAGTGCCACAAATAACGCACAACAAGGAGACAAAATCAAAGTATAAGGAATCAGAGGAGAACTGTGACAACTCTGTGATAGCTGACACTGTTTACTTCACAACTAGATGTCTTATGCACATTCACACACTGGTGTTGCTTGGTCCCAAACTTACATTTGTATTGAGAAAGAGGGGGTCCACGCCCAACAAATCCTTCACAACGAGTTCATGTTGATTAGATTATTATCTGAATGAAATCCTTTCTGTTCTTTTTCAAATGAACCTAAACGTTATCATCTACGTAATGTTTACAGGTCCATCAGATGTTCCAGGTGTTTCTTTCTCAAAGAACAATGAAATGTCGGCAGTTTATGGAAGTACGTTACTAAAAAGTTTGTTGAAAGACGGTTAGAAGAAGTGACTTGTAGACTGTTTCTATCTGCAAATACATCTGAACTCACAGGTGTTTCTCTGGAACCTTTTTCTGAAATCCTGTTGTAGTCTTTAAGCATCTTCTGTGTTAGACGCTCATGGAGGTGCTGTCACATTTCACCACCCTTTACTGAAACCTGCTGTGTATAAAGCAACTGGTTGTGGATCAAAAAGATTTCATAAAGCCATATTTCTGTGCACTGAAAACTGAAAAACACAAGATAAATGCTGTCTGAAACAGTACACTGAATATACTACAGGCCACGGGTAAGCCAAATCGCCAACTGATTCTCTGTATCTACAAGAAATTAGGTGAATCTGTAAGCAGAAGAAAGCTAAACAGAGCTATTTAGGTGAAAGGAGAGTGATTGAGATCAGAGGTTAAGAGGTAGAGAAAGGCTGAGAAGGCATAAACAGTGACCATAACCAGAAAGAGGAGATAGTCCCCTGATGAGAGCGAAATTAATTTAATCAGAATCATTTAAGAATTGGCTGTCAGTCCTATCCCTGTTCAGCCACATTAGTTGTTAGGATGCCATGAAATATCAGAAGACATGTCACATGTATGCTCGAGTCGGGCTGTCTTTCTATGCAAGCTTCTGTCCCCCTTACACTGCGCGACCATGGATAGCCGCTTCTTTTATATACAACAGTTTCCCCCCAGAAAGAACCTGCCAACCAGAACCAGAACCCACCAACCCTAGAACACCTGCTAACTGTGGGCAACAGCACCAGTTCTTGCCCTCGGGGTGTGTGTGTGTAAAGTCCATGGTGCCCCCCCAGCACGCTACAATACAGACAAGCAGGCCATGCTCACACAAACAGACTGATATAGTTCTAGCATTCCACAAGAGTGAAGTTTGTGTTTTAGCATTAACCTAATTTACGCACTCAGCTATGAGTGAAGAGGCTTTTCTGTGGTTGCCAGCAGTTATAATCCGGAGCAATGTGTTTACACGCGCCATTTTCAAGTACAGGTAGCTCATTAAAGTTCCATCACACTGAACGAGGCAGCTGTTTATACTGTGACACTCCCCCACTGGTTCACACTTATACTTATAAACACTTAGAGGCGCGGCAGGTTGCCATTCATCCTGAATGGAACCTCAAAATAGCATTCCCCTGTAATTCACGAGTCGAAAGCCTCCCAGCAGTGCGACCTGGAGACACTGCAGAAGGCAACGGTTTGCTACTTACTGTACGTGCGGGGTGACAACCCAGAGACGAACAGTTGAGGTTGTTTTGATTCCCAGAGGAAACAGAATGGATTTTCACCAAATCTAAAAATCACAGACATTGTGCATTTTAATGCAAATTTAAGATCCAGATGTGGGATAACAATCACTATATGTTTTCTATTAAAAATAACCGATTTAGAGAATTGTTCAGCCTAGGAAGCTAAATGTGCTGTTACCTTCTTACTGAGACAGTTTCATTTGGGTTGTCTCATCCGCACATGTTGTTTACTTGCTGCTTTTTATTTTGCAGCATTTTCTTGTACAAATGGAGCCAGTTTAGTCTCATCACATCTCCATCCAGTCCTCCCCATTTCCATCCCTGTCATGGATTCAGCTTCAGTAAAAGGCTACAAACAAGATGACTAAAAGAGATTTCTATTAGAAAAGGCATTGTGTTGACTCTGCATGTGGTGTGTTGTGCATGCTTGATATAGTTTTTATTACTGTGTGTGTTCTTGTGTTTGGTGTCACATTATTTAGTATGTGTGCGAAATAAAATGAGTTTTTTTTTTCTTTGTTCCTTTTCTTTCTCTTCACATTCATGGTGAAATATTGCCACCAAAGGTTACTCACAGTTTGGACTGTGGGTGACTAAGTGAACATTTTTATCAGCATGGAATCCAAATCAGCAGCTGAATTAAATGGCTAGTCTATCAGTTACAAATCACCACACTTTCTAAAGTGTACCACCACTTTTGAGATTGACTATCTATCTTTTGAAAACACCACTGGTTTCAGCTCATGCCAGCATGATATGAAAAATAACTTGAAGAGACCTGAAAAATGCTTCTTTCAAGATTTTTCTTTGCCATTTATGCATAAACAGACAGTCTAGGCATATAGGAATTCTTGTGCAGGGCTTTCCTGAAGTCAAGAGTTTAGATCCAAAAGAACAAACACCTAGTCTAAATATAAAATCACCAAAGAATACAAAATACAAAAAACAGCATTACAAAAGATAAAAAGTTGATAAAATTGTGAATACAGGAGTAAGATAGTAGGTAAAATGGGGAGTTTCATATATTGCACATGGTATTACACATAGTGTAATTGTATATGGTATTCTATTTAGTAGGGTAATGAGGGGTTATTGCACAGGTTTTTCACATTTTGTATTTGCCATCAGTCTAACTGCAGCAGGGAAAAAGCTGTTGTAAAGTCTTGTTCTGTGTGTGATGGTACTGTCCGCCCTGTTGTGCCTGAGGTTGTAGGTGCAGTTTTTGTGTCTGAGCAGAGTGGGAGCTGGGTGGAGTGGATCCCTGATTATGTTCTCTGCTATTTTACGACAGCACTGTGTGTATATTGGGTCCATGGCAGGCAGTTTCGTCCCAAT